TTTAACATTATATTCATTGCATACATATACTTCGTAGTAGACATCCTTAACTCCTTTCTGCTGTCTGTTGTTCTGTTGTCGGTGTTTCTTTGTTTGAATATGGCGCTTATCACATGCTGTGTGGTATCGGCGTTTGGTATCGGGGCATTTTAACGAGTACGAGTACAGGAGACCAGTATCGGGCCCAATACTGATACCAGTATCGGTATCGGGCATCCCTATCAAAATACAGTAAAACGGTAATATTGTGAAATATTATCACAGTTTAAAATAACTGATTTCTAATTTAATGTTTTAAAATATAATTTATTTTCAGCATCATAACTCAGTGTCACATAATCCTTTAAAAGTCATTCTAATATGCGGTTGTTTTTACTTTTTTTTTTTTTTTTCGAGATTCTTTGATGAATAGAAAGTTAAAAAGAACGTTAGAAATATTCTAAAACATTACAAATGTCTTTACTGTCACTTTTGATAAATGTAATGCATCTTTGCTGAATAAAAGTATTCTTGCTTTCAAAAAAAAAAAAAAATCTTACTGACCTTAAACTTTTGAAAAGGTATTGTATATTTAAAAGACATATCAGATGGCATAGCATGAATAACACCATGACAGCTTGAGAAAGCTGGGGAATTCCCTTGGAAAGTATCTTGCTTTCATTTTATCTTTATTAGGTCGTCAACAGCAATCTCAACCAACTGAATTCCCCCTCTTTTGTATCATAAAAAGAACATGACGCAGTTTCTGTTATGGGAGTGCAAGTCATTGTGAAATGCTTTTGTTCTCATGCATTAATGTCTGCATGCATTAAAGTGTGTATGTTTCTGTCTCCACAGCATCCCAACCATCCCTCTACACATGAGCGGATCCAGTAGTGTGAACTCTGCACTGGCAGGTACAGCACTCACCCGTCACACATGCCACACCAGAGAAAATCCTTACAGTGATGCACTGGGCTCTCCGTCTCCTCATCCCAGAAAGCTGTTTGATGCTGCAGTAGCAGCTGAATGGTTTCTTGGGAGTGTCAGTATGAACCTCAGAAACGTTTCCCAGTGCGGTGATAGTCAGTGAAGTTAGCTTTGGCATTCTTCAGTGAATGTGTCACAAGTACATTCATGCAACAGCTTTGCTTTATATTGGTTCCACCTTGATGTTTTTGTCTTGCGTCGGCTGTGTCACCAATCAGTTTATGACATTAGCGGCTTCATTGAGTCACCAGTTTGTGGGTTTTGAGTTGGTGTGTTTTAAAAGAGCTCGCCTTTCAACAAGTTTCAAGCTAATGGCGCGTGTCTGGGGATGCTGGATATCTGTTGTTCTTGTAGCTGACAGCTGCTGCACCAAGATGAATGAGGCATTCGGGGAACAGAATGACAGATTTGGGACGAAGAGACATTTCCAATGTAATTTTCACTAGATTGAAGGTGGGGAGATTTTGGGTGGGTCTTGAATAAAGTGAGCAATGCAAACATGAGTTTAAACTGTAGAATTTCGTAATGCTCATGTTCACTTGACAGTTGACCTCCCCATCTCGAGGACATTGTGTATGATGTAACATCATAAGCACAATCCGCTGATGTTTTTGCGCAATTTTTGAGTCTGCACTGATTTCTGCATAGACAATGAATGGCGCATATGCAAGTAGTGTGAATAGTTGAACACTCAACTATGTACTGTAGCGTTCAAGACAGGATTAACGGCAGACACCGATGATCCAAACTCAAATGTTTAGATGGGTGATCTGGATTTTGTGAGAGTTACTACATCTGTGTAATTGTTAGTTGTTTGAAAACTTGAATGTTAAAGGGATAGTTCACCCAAAAATTATAATTATGATCATTTACTCACCCTCAAGTTGTTTCAAACCCATAAGATCTTCAAAAAACAAATGAAGATATTTTTAATGAAACCTGATTTCTGTCCATCCACTGAAAGTCAATTCCAACAAAACTTTTGAATCTATATGAATTGAATGGTTTAATCAAAGTCTTCTGAAGAAAGAGACACAATTGCTTTATATGATAAACCTATGAAAAAGTAGAAAGAGATAAAAACTGGGAAATGGTTACTGAAAGAGTTTTGAGTAGTAAAAAGTAAACCCAAGTATGAACAGCCAGATTTTTTACGTTTTCCCCAAACCATTCAGCCCTAAAAGGTTTTCTCACTCAAAAAAAATTTCAGCTTATTTTTTAAATTCTTTTTATTTTTCATGCAGATGCACTTCCCATCAAAATCACCCCACTAGCTGTAAAATTATTCATTCTTTCTAAATAGCTGTTCAAAAATCCTTGTATTTTTTTTATATTGCAAAAAAACAACAATTCAAAATGTCATTTTTTTCAAATATTGTGCAGCCCTAGTTTGTATCCACATGAGAGGGAGTAAATGACTGAACTATCCCTTTAAAAAAAATTTTTAGGTATTGTCCCTGTATATAGGGAAGTGCAAAATTATGATCAGTTATCTTTGTAATGGATTTGTTGGTGGATTGCCTGAATCGCTAGTTGGCTAATTGTCTTAAGAAAACACTGTATAATTAGGCTGTTTTGGATCCATCTGACCCCAACCAGATGCATTTCACAGCATGGGTCTTGAGACAAAATGGTTAAACTTCAAAAGTCTTGCTGTCATAAAAATGTAATGCTTGTGTTCAGGTTTTTTCAAATGTGTTGGTCCAAAGCTTAAAACCTTAAAATAGGCAAAGCTTAAAACCCTGTGCTGCTTTAATGTTGTTCTTGATGCATCAGGAAGCATTTACTTTTAATGCTGGTCTGTTATTATGGTGTAATGGAAGATGGTCTCTTCCTGTCAAAGTGGACCAGACAGCCAAAAGCCAAAAGTCTGGCTCTGTGAGAGCAATGTGAGATCTGTGTCTCCTCTGAAGGTGGTTTGAATGGTTGGATCGCAGTTAGTGTCCGAAGCCCATTGGATTCCGTGTACTGGATTTATTTCATTTAATCCTAGATGGATATTAAGAGCAGGTGGGATTGTAGTCAGCACCTATAGCTGGACTGATATAATTATTTCCTCCGCAGTAAGTAGGACCCTAAATTTTTCTTGACTTCATCAGAGCATGCCTCACTTGTGGTTGGCCTCTCCACTCTTGGCTCATTACTCTTCCTTTCCTTCACTCCTCCTCCTCCCTTCCTCCTGCATGTTTCCACATGGCCTTCGGCCGTTCCAGGCATGGCTTCCATTTTGATGTCAGCTGCAGGACTGGGAGTTCGCTTCTTGACCGCCCCCTTCTCCCAGAGTGGCTCCAGCAGGCCCACCAATGGCCAGCCCAGCTCCGTTAAGAGGGCAAAGAGACAGTCCAGGACAGGTAGTTAAGCACCGCCAACCAGCCTGACCGAACCTGCCCTCCACTGGCCTGCAAACTGTTGCCGCTCCTATCCTTTTTTTAATTTATGTTTTCTAGAGGTCGACCGATAGTGGATTTTACGGATACCGATAGCTAGGTTGGATCACACCGGCCTGATACCGATTAATCAACCGATGGGTTTTTAAAATGGATACTGAACGAAAACAAAAATTCTGCTCTACTAGTAAAAAAAAAAAACAGTGCTGAAACACACTTTGTAAATGATTATAAATATAAATATTAAATATTAATTATATATTGATCATTAAAGTTAGTTCTTAGCTTATTAACTAATGTTAACAGAAGCAACTTCAAAATTAAAAAATCTATTAGTAGATGTTGAAATTAGCACACTCTAACAAGATTAAATATCTACACAAAGACCATAGCATGAAATCACATACTGTATATATTAGTGTTGTCACGGTACCAAAATTTCAGTATTCGGTACCAATACCAGTGAAAATCCACGGTTCTCAGTACCAATTTTGGTACCAAAGCAAAACACATGCTAATTAAAAAATTTGACTATACTTTCATTTAATCCAAACTGTGTACATATTTAATTTTAAAGGGCTTTTGAAAACCTTCTAGAGTTATTCAGCCAAGAATAACAACTAACTAAGTTTAAAAAGTTAGTTGAAAAAAAAGCCCAGAACTGCTTTGCTGACTGATATGACACAAACAATGTTAACCATTTGTACATTCTCTAACACGCATATTTTAGATTCACAATTCATTTAAAAGCCTCTGGTGTGTAAAAATAGTAAATATCATCATGTCCTCCTGTGTTTTTTTACCCTAATAAAAGTTATCGGAGCATTAAATAATTAATAAAGAAACTTCATTCTAATGCTCATTATACTAGCGTTAGCCGCGCTTATGCTAACAATTAACTACTAGCTGTACACAAAACAGCGCTCCGCTCACAAACGCTGCTCAGGTATTACAGGCAAGATGAAATGAAAATGACATCCATAATATTCTGAAGACAGTCGTTTCCTTCAGAAACTTTTGATGTCGCCACATCTCAGTGCTTTTATGAAGACAGCGCATCTGCGCACCTTTCGGATAGCGCATCAAGAACCGGGTTGACCGGGTACTCGTACCACCGGTACTTAAAAAAAACCTGGTACCGTAACGTTTTCATTTTTTTAGTACCGCCTTGGTACCGACATACCGGGTCTTTTGACAACACTAGACTTTCGGATAGCGCATCAAGAACCGGGTTGACCGGGTACTCGTACCACCGGTACTTAAAAAAAACCTGGTACCGTAACGTTTTCATTTTTTTAGTACCGACTTGGTACCGAAGTACCGGGTCTTTTGACAACACTAGTACATATGGATATTGTATGTATACTCTCACACTTTAACTGCTTCTATTCTAGAACACATGATGATTATCTAATCAAAATAACAAAATATGCCAGTCGCACACCGGGCAAAAAGCGCAGCGACGCGTCTAGGAGAACTCGCAGGTATCACACACACCGGACGTGTCGCGTTCAGTTTAAGCGGTGGTCCAAAACTGTTTATTTTAAAAAGCGGCACAGATGAGTTTGAAGTTCAGTGTTTAAACAAAAACAGCAAAACGGAAAGAAAGCTTTATTAGAGCCACAGAAAGACAAACGTTTCACAATACACAATTTTTACAACATAGGGTGAAGTCATTATGTACACTGACAATGATTTAGGACAAATATAATGTAATTTAATGGAAAACTGTGTGAATGGCGCTCTGCAGCGCGGCAGGACTTCTGTCAGCTGAATCAACATATCAGCTTGCTTTCTCACGTCACAGCTTTAAATCTGCAACTTTGCTGGCTAACAAATGCATTAATGTGACCAGCTGGATATAAACTAATGCAAATAGTTGGTAACAATCGTGACATTAAACATTTGGGTCGGACTTACGTGTGTTTTGGTCACATTGTTTTAACCATTTGAGGTGCTGCTAATGTTCGCGTCCTCTCAGCATTGATAGCAAACATACTGCTTTTCTGTCTCCACTAATGCAGCATCTAGTCAACAAATTAATTACATAGTAATGATATGAAAACATGCTCTACAGTGTACTGTATACACACCGTTCCGTTGTCTGTTTTAAATGCGCATCTTAAGTGTCCCGCTCTGCAGTGTCATGTCAAAACAAACAGCACGTGGTGTCAGTGATTCAGCTCTAGATGCCGCTCTCGTACTGTCTAATGACAGCGTTTAGCTCCAGCAACTGATGCAGCCCGGAAAAACTATCGGCATGGATTTTTGCCAATAATTCCAGCAATCAACTATCAGTGCTGATTAATTGCAAAACAGATAAATCGGTCGACCTCTACTGTTTTGCCTACCATTCTACTTTCAGTTTATATTTTCCTCAAGGGGTCTGGTACTTCAGCTTCATTCTGACATGCTCCTTCCGGCCATTGCAAGATGTTTATGTTTCGCTATTTATCGCTTGCTTCGGCTGCCATGTTTTCACCCATTTCATGTTTATGCTGTCATGGTCACACTGTCTTGCTTCCATCCTCCCGATCACATAATGAATGCACTATTGATGGGATTCGGCTTGACACCTGCCTGCTCACCTGTGGGACACTGGAGACAGATGTCTGCTGGGGGGTTTATGGAATAACAATGGTTCCCGGTCTGTTTTTTTCTTTCTCTCTAACCCTGCATAACCTGTGTTGTTGTTAATGCCAGTTATTTCAACGTCTGTAACACGGAAGATGGATATTAGGTTCAGACTGACACTCACAAGCAATGTTAGTTTGCTGCTTTAATATCAGCTTACTAAAACATCCTAAACGCATTTTCTGTATTGAACTGGCTATTGCAATGTTGTCTGAAAACTAGGGTTGGGTATCGAAAGCCGGTTCCATTTTAGAACCGGTTCCAAATTTCCAAGAAACGGGTATTCGATAAGACGCGTGCATTTCGATTCTGCTTAACGATTCCTGCGTTCGCAATATATATTATCTAATATATAATATAATTTGCTGTGGTATTTTATTTAAAGCATCGGCAAAATTCCTCTTGCAGTGTTCTGTAGGCTGCTGATTTTTGCTCGTGTTATTCAGCTGCAACAGAATGCTTTGTAAAAAGACAGAATAAATGTTTGACTGAATTTTTTTTATATTGGATTTTTTATCGTATTGGAATC